TGAGGTGAGTCTGGAGTGCTTGTTCACTGCTTGGCCATAGCCCTGCTGGGCCTCAGTTTAAGAGCTGTGCACCTGGTGGATGCATCCCAGGGTGATGGGAAGAACCAGAGACAGCCTTCTGAAGGGGCCCAGTCTCCTGTAAGGACGGAGACCCAAGGGCATTGCCAAGGGTAGGGCGCTGTTCTGGCTCTGGGTATTTAGCAATGGACAGAGCAGACCCAAATCCCAGTGAGCCCTCACAGAGATCAGGGCATGGGCAAATGCAAGGGTAGGAACTTTTCTCAAGTTTTGATGTGGATTTATTTGGAGCACTGAATTGAAAGTATTTAGAAATGCCCTTGAGTGTTGGGGGGAAGGGACAAGGGCAGGGTGGTCCCTGGGCCAGCTCCTGCTTGGAGAGGGTGCTGACCAGGCCCAGCTGGTGACCTTGGGTCAGTCAGTGCTGGCGTGGGCTGGATCCTGGCCTCCTGAGTCACCCTGCCTCGCCCCAGCCTCTTCCTGCCTGGGGCTGACTATAGCTCGGTCATCTCAGCTGAGACAACCCTCTGGTTTTGGAAGGGAATTTTCCCGAATGCCACCAAGGCTAAACTCTCTGGCCTTGATCTTTGGCTGTGCCACTACAGACCTTGCCGCCTTCCTGTACTTGGCACCCTCTGCCTGAGGCAGCTCCCCTCCCCGCTCCGCCCCTCCCCCATGGCCGCCTCTCCCTCTCCCTGCCCCCTGCTCGGCCTTCGGACGTTGCCTTCCTGTCTTCTTGCCCTCCTGCCCAGCAAACCTTTTCTGCTGTCAACTCCTCCCTCCTGCCCATGGCCACATTCCAGATATTGGCCACTTCTTTGCTCCTGCCCGGACCCTCGCCAGCTCCCTGAATGGAGTCTTCCCGGCACTTTTCTCCTTTCATATTGTGTGGACCCCCTCAGAAGCAGGACACTGCCCCACCCTCGAAGGGGACACGTTCTTCCTTTGGTGGTGGACACCTGGCATGGGGTGGGGCTAGGGCAGGGTTTCTCCCCTGTTAACATTTGGGGCTGGGTAGTTCTTTATCGGGGGTGGGGGGCAATCCTATGCATTGTTGGATGTTTAACGGCACCCCTGACCTCCACTCACTAGGACACCCGTAGCAGTTCCCTCCCCAAGTTGTGTCAACCAGGAATGGTCTACATATTGTCAGGTGTCCCCAGGGGAGCAAAATTGCTCCTGGGTGAGAATCACTGGGCTAGGAGATGAGAGCACTGTGTCTCGATTTGGCTAAACCTGTGCTGGAAGGGACCTGAGAAATTCTCTAGTTCAAATCGCACATTTTAAAGGAAATTGGGCCTCAGAGAGCTAAAGAATCTTAAGATCGCAAAGAGGAACAGTATAATGAAAGAGGCATTTTAGAAAAAGGACCCAGTCAGCTCAATGTATGCTGTGCTGAAAAACAGAGGCCAGAGGCAGGGAGGGGAGCATGGCTGGGACCTGGGCATGAGACGGGTGCTAAGGCGGGGGTCTCGGTGCTTTTCCCCTGACAGCCTAGGCTTAGCGTGCATGCAGTCTCCTAGCAGTGGGAGTGTGCAAGGGGCTCTTCACCAAACGCCAGGAGACCAGGTTCTGGGCCCGTCCTGGCAATCTCCTGTCCCCTCTCAGTGTACTTATCTGTAAAGATAGGGCTTGGTGTTTGTGTCTTCTTCCTGCCTGGCGGCTCTTCTGGTTTTGGGTCATCTGGGATGGGGACACAGGGTCCATCTCAGCAGAGACCCCTGAGGATATGGAGGAGTGACAGGGGTCTCATTCACTCAGCAGACATTGTGTGTGGTACCCCTCCCCATCCCCGGACTTAGGTACAGGCTGCTGGTGTGTTGCCCCACCTGTAGGCAGCAAATCGCGCCTGGGATCTAGCCTGGGGTATGATGGGACCTCGGACAGGAAGTGAGAAGGGAAGCAGGTGCAGGGACAGGACCACAGCTCCTTTTCTCAGGGTGTTGGAGGGAGGCTGCTGGTGGTCCTTGGGAGGCTTGCAGGCCAAATCAAAGAATGTGCAGTGTGGAGCCAGAGAAATGACCAGCTCCTGGGGGCTTCTGAACAGTTAAGCTTTTCCTGGATGGAGGCTCCTTGAGCTCACCTTAGTTCCCCCCGGGAGGGAAATGGAGAATGGAGGGGCAGAGGGGACCCCGCCAGGCCCACTCCCAGTGAGAACTGGCTTCTGGGGAGGGTCCTGGTGACCCTACTGTCTGCAACTGCAGCAGGTGGGGCATCCTGTAGCTCCCGGAGGCCAAGTTCAGCTCTCTATAGTAGGCTCCTCCACTTTCAGTGAGTAACCTGGCAGCAGCGGGTTTTCCTCTTATTCATTCCAGGGTCTGGCTTTTAGAGCTATAAATATTCAACATGAAGGTCATGAATTTCCGTGGTGTGATTAATGAAAGAAGAATTGAGACGGCAGCATAGATACTGACCAGATTGAAGAAAGTCAGTGACAAGTTGGATGAAAGTTTGCGCCCCACGCTGGCAAACCCAGAGCTTCTGAACCGGCCTGGAGCGCCACCTAGTGGTTGCAGGGGTTATTCCCCTGGCAAAGCTAGAGATGCCCCCTTTGGGTGGATGCTCTGGGCCTGAGTGTGCCCACACCTTGAGAGCCTTGCCCTACTTCCAACTGGGACTGCTGAAGGGTATAGGAAGCACAGAACCCCTCTCCACAATGTGGGGGACCCAGGCAGCTGCTCTGCATACCTAACTCCCATGCCCCCGTACTCCTTGAACAGTCTTTGGTTTAGTAATATGCGGGAATTTCCCAACTTCTTTGTCATGCTCACTCTGGACCACTTCTGTTTCCCAATCCATCAAATTCCTACTCATTCTTTAAAGCCCAGCTAGCCCTGTCTACACTACCTTGAGAGTATATCTCAAATCGGACCATTTCTGACCAGTGCTCCATGGCCACCTGCCGCGACCGCCACCAGCCCGAGCACCGCGGTGGCCTCCTGACTGCTATCCTGGCTTCCCCCTGTGCCCTCCACTGGTCTCTTCTCGCAACAGCAGCCAGAGCGATCTACTGAAAACAAATCATGTCACTCTCCAGCTCCAGAGGCTTTCCATCCTGTAAAATAGCACCCAGATTTTCTGTCCTGATGCCTGCAAGGTCCTGTCTCATGGGTCCCCTGCCACCCTGCCTACTCGTCACCTCCTTCACTGTATTGTAGCCACATGGGCACCTTGCTGCTCTGTGGCTGTCCAGGCTCATTCCCCACTCAGGGCTTTTGCACTGCTCTTCCCTCTGTGAGAATACCCTTCCCCCAGGCATTTGTGTGGCTCACTTCCTCTCTTTATTTGGGCCCACTCAAGTGCCATCTTTCTGAGAGGTCTTCCCTGGCCACTCTGTTCCCAGGTACTTCCTAACTCTTTACCCATCCTTATTTTCCCTCACAGCACATACAAGCACCTGGAATTCCATGAGATGCTTGTATAACATCTGCGTCCTCTGTGGGAGCTCCCTTTTCACTAGGGCCAGGGGTTTACTGGCTCCCCCAGCACTCGAAGGGGGCCTGGCACTTGTTAAGAAGGGACTCAGTTTGTGTTTGTGGGCTCCCTGTCTTCGCTGGTACCTCTGTGCCCCTTCTCTGGGTTTGGTTCCTGGGGGTCACAGCACAGCTCCTGGCACACAGAGACTGCTTAGTGCATGCCTTCAGAGGCCAGAACCTGCTACTTGCGCCCCCCTACCCCCCTCTTCCTATGCTTGCTTCCACGTAAATTCTCAAAACAATCCAGGAGGTAGGTGCTATTATTCTCATTTAGCATAAAAGGAGCTTGCAAGGTGGCACAACCAGGACCAGCTGGAGCCAGATATCAGATCCATGTCTAGCCTCCCCAGCCCTTCTGTCTGCACTTTCATCTGTGTGGAACATTCTTGCCCTCTACCTGCCCCAAGTCACCCCATCCAGGAGGGACTATCTCCACCAACTGGCATCTTGGACCAGGACAATGGCTGTGTCCTCTGAACTCCTGTCCTGTTTATTTGACACCAGTGTATACTGCCAGGGGTAGATGCTGCTTCTTTATGGCTCCCTTCCAGCCCAAGTGGAGGCCCAGGGAAGGCAGGTCTCTAATGCCATTGTAGTTCTTCTGGCACAGGATGCTGCATGCTGCAGGTGCTCAATATAGTGGTTAACTGACTGACTGGCTTCTTACACTCAGCAAACTTCCCCTGAGCTGTGGGAGGGAGGAGTGTGTCAGCTATAGCGAGCAGAAAGTAAGGCAGACGTGGAGATTTGCAGCCAATGAAACCAAAGCTTCCCCAGGTGAAATGAGTGGCGTCGGCGGCCCTGGGGGTGCTGTTGAGGAGTGGGTTTTCCGGCCGGCGGTGCTGGTTGCTGGGTTACAGGTGGATGGTGGAAGCAGTGATGGGCTGCTACGCCCTACGCATTGGCCAGTCCCTCAGTCAGCCTCTCACCCAGCCCAACAAGTCCTTTTCTTTCTCTGTCTGTGGGAAATTTGTTTTTCAGCCTCCTGAGAACAGTGGGCAAGTGGCCCTTCTAGTCAGGGCAACAAGTCACAGTGACTGGAAGGTCTGGCCCGGAGAAACTGGACTCTGGATTCTCCTCCTGCCCCCAGAGACAAGTCCTTATTGCTTTCCCTGAGCACCGTGTCCCCTTCCCCCGGACTCTTTCCTGAATGCTAGGGCCTCTCCCTGACAAGTGGAGTAGCTGCAGCCGTTCATATGCATCTAGGACCTGCAATATTTGTCACATGCTTTTGTCTGTCTCATTTAATTTGACCTTCAGAGTGACCCTAGTGAAGTAGTATAACCCTGTTTGCCAGATGGGAGATTGAGACATGGAGAAACTAAGGGCATTGTCTGGGTCACACAACCCACATGATGTGAGGCCGTGACCGTGTCTGACCAGTAGCCCAGTTTTCAGAGCCTTTCCCAGTGTCTCAGAGTAGGGGGTGGGGATATGCGTCTTTCAGGTCCCCCAGCGGTGAATGCACCGGCAATGCCAGTCTAACAGGTTTTCCTTTCTCTACAGCTCTGTGGCTGTGGGCTGCTCGGAGTGGGCATTTGGCTGTCCGTGTCCCAAGGCAACTTTGCCACCTTCTCTCCCAGCTTCCCTTCGCTATCAGCAGCCAACCTAGTCATCGCCATAGGCACCATTGTCATGGTGACGGGCTTCCTCGGCTGCCTGGGGGCCATCAAGGAAAACAAGTGCCTCCTCCTCAGTGTAAGTTGGACCCCACACCCCCAACCGTCTGAACTCTGGATCACAGTTTGGGCCACAGCGACAGGCAAGGCCTGGGAACATCAGCTAACTGAGCCCACAGAAATTGCTTTTAGAATGTTTTTATTTATTTATTTATTTATTTATTTATTTATTTATTTATTCGGCCCAATCACATTCCTCTTCCTCAGGATCGACTCTCTCTGCCCTAGTTGTCTCTGTCACTCCTTGATTGGCATCTACTTAATATACCTCCCCTATCTGCATGGGTTTCCTCAGAAAGTAGGTAACCTCTCCATACCGGGGAAGCCCTGGCTACACGTTGCCTGTCCCCTGACATCGCCTGTCTCTGACATTGTCCTTGTTTGTGCCTCACTCCTGACCACAACTGCCATGATGTACGACACCTGTACCTTCTCTTTCCAGTTTTTCATCGTCCTGTTGATCATCCTCCTAGCAGAGCTGATCTTACTTATCCTCTTCTTTGTCTACATGGACAAGGTAAGCCTTCAGGAATGGAGGGGGCTTATGGAATTTCATTGTCCTTGGGGTTGGGCCAGACTTGGGCCGGCCAGAGGGAAGGTGCTGACAGGTAGTACCTGTGAGGAAAGGAGAATGGAACCAAGAGAACTAGGAAAGGCCCACATGAAAGGTTTTGGTGTAGCAGGTGTGGCAGCGGGGGGAAGGCGAACTTGGGATGGTTCACTACTTGTGTCGTCTCAGGAAGTGGAGTCCTCCGCATTGTCCGAGTGGGTAATGGATTGCCCCTCACATCAGTGAGCTCCCCATCACTGGGGGCATTCAGGCATACTTGTGCTGACCACTTGCAGAAGGGATTTAGACCTCATTAAGTGGTTGGGCTGGTTTATTTGAGGATAACCCATTGGAAACATGCAGGCACTTTGCAGGTGACACCATGAGTAGGGCTAACAGTGAAGGGTAGCTACACTTTCTTTGCCAGAGATCTCTAAGGATAGAGCGACTGCTCCCAGGCTGCACCGCGCGGTTCAGCAGCATGGTGGGGTGACCCCTGGCAACCTTGCTAGACTAGATAGTTTCCAGTCAATTTGGAGAAGTTCTCATTGGTGCTCCCAAGAATGACTAGCCGAGCATTCAGTCTTTTAGGGCTTAATAGGCTCTTTCGGTGCACGTATCCAGGAGCTAAGTTGCTCTCTCTACCTTGGGTTCTTGAAGTACTTGCCCAGGCCACACTGAAAGGTTGAGTCATTATTAGGATTGGAAACTAATTCTTTTGCATTTATGAAAGGGAAGAAATAATAAAATTGAGAGATCCCTCTATGCTAGCCCTGTTCTTGGCTCTTTATAACAATTATTTCCTTTAATCTTCACAAGAACCCACAGGTAGACATTATTATTCCAATATATTACAAATAAAGCAGAGACAAGTTACTTGCTAGCAAGGGGTGGGCCTAAGATCAAAATGACCGATCTGCCATTCTCTGGTTCCTGGGGTGTCCTTTGACAGGGGCGGTGTAGGGGAAGATGTTATGGGTGGGGTGGCAGAGTGGCCTCTGTATGTGGCTGGTCTCTTTGCCCCTGAGTGTTAATAACAGCCCTGGCCTGAAGGGCTCAGCTCCCGTGGGAGTCGGTGGGTACAGGCTGAAGCTGAGAGTGTGAACGCACCCTGCCCCAGCACCCTACTCCCACTGAGCCTGCAGAGCCCGCCCCCAGGGCCCTCCCCCAGTCTGGAAGAGTGGCAGCTGGCAGTTCTAGTTGACCTGGGCAGGCTGCATCCCGGTCCCAACCGTCCTGTCTGTCCGCCTCAACCTGACAGGTGAACGAGAACGCCAAGAAGGACCTGAAAGAAGGCCTGCTGCTGTACAACACGGAGAACAATGTGGGGCTGAAGAATGCCTGGAACATCATCCAGGCTGAGGTGAGGGCTGGGCAGCCCTGCTGACTGCACGCAGCGGGGCCAGCAGGCTGGACCGGGGGTGGCGGCCGCCCGGGGGACCGAGTCAGGTGCCTGCGCTCTCCGAACTGTAACTGAGAGCTGCCAGGTGGTCAGGTGCAGTACAGTGGGATACAGCTGGAGAGGGACAAGGAGGTGCCTGGAGGCAGCCGGGCAGGACCCAGGTGCAGGAGGCCCGAGGGAGCAATGCCAGTGGCTAAGTGGGCACCGGGAGCTGGGAAGGATGGGTAATTGAGAAGGGCAGACCATCCAAGTCCTTTTCTGAAGTTTTAGAATGAGTGACAGAAGTTATTTTAGCAGCAGATATGCCTTGGTCATGGCTGAGGCAAAGACGCTCTTGTTCTAAGAGGAAAACAAGTCAGTATAGGCTGGATGTCCCATGGTAAGCTCGGGGGAGGGGCAGGCAGCCAGCCTGGAACTGCCCAGCAAGCACGGAGCCAGAGGTGCTGGTGGGGCTCAGAGGGCTGAGCACTCCTGCCCAGCGCGCAGCTCCAATGGGCAGGCAGCATTCCTGTCTCCCCGTGCCGGCCTCCAGGAAGTAGCTGTCACGTACTCCCCCTGGGCGCCTGGTTGAGGCCAAAAGAAGGGACAAGAAGAAGGGCTTTTCCTCTTCTGCTGGACCCCAGTGTGGCAGCCCTGTGAGGCTGAGTTGGCCCAGACAGGGAGGGTTCAGAGGAGGGTGGCCGGCTGTAGCGTGTCTGACTCTGCACCCTCACCCACAGATGCACTGCTGTGGCGTCACTGATTACACAGACTGGTACCCGGTGCTGGGTGAGAACACGGTCCCCGACCGCTGCTGCATGGAGAACTCCCAGGGCTGCGGGCGCAACAGCACCACCCCATTGTGGAGAACGGTGAGACCTGAGGCTGCTTCCCTGGGTCCTTCTCCTAGGAGCCTGTGTGGTGGCAAGAGGACGCTTACGGGTGAAGGGAGGGTGTCCTGGGGCACCAAAGAGTGGGCTTAATGTGGAGGAGGGTGGGAGGCACACAGGACTGATGCCAAAGGCAGGTGGAAAATGGGGTGCAGGGAAGCCTGGACCTACAGTTGGGAGTGACATGGGGGGGTAGGGGTCTGAGGCTGTGCAGTGGGGCATTGTAGGTGGAAGCCTGGGCAGGGTAGGCCTGCGCGAAGGCGGGAGGACCAGGCTGGGCGTCAGGGAGGGACAGGAGGAGAGAGCAAGGAAAGGGCTGGAGGGGAAAGTGGGTGAGGACTGGGCAGGAGGGGTGCTGATTGTCATGCCAGGCCCTTAACCTTGTGGTCTTCACTCCCTAGGGCTGCTATGAAAAGGTAAAGATGTGGTTTGATGACAACAAGCACGTGCTCGGCACAGTGGGGATGTGCATCCTTATTATGCAGGTAAGGTGGGCCGTCAGCCCCGTGGCATCCCCGCTGGAGAAGAGCAAACACCCGGCACTCACACCTCTGACACAGGCAGCCTGATGTCCCTGTGCTTCCCTGCTCCGCTCTGAGGCCTCTTCCGGTGCCTGTCCTGACCCTGCAGACACCACAGAGCACGGCCTCCTTGCATTTCACCTGAGCCTTGGGCTCGACGCTGGCATTGCATGCAGCCTATGTGTGGCTGTGCTGGCGAACCCACCTGTCCCACTCCACGGGGATGTTTACCTTGTGATTGAGCTGAATGAAACCTGAGTCCTCCATAACGACTGTGAGCACGCGCTCATGGTCCAGACTCCATGAGTGTCAGACCTCGTCTCTCCATCTGTTAGGCGCATTTGACCTGAGTGCATTGATTAACTTCTGTGCCTTAATTTCCACATCAGCATAAGGGGCATGATCATCATGCCCCTTAATAATGGTTCAGTATGCGTAACATAGGGCGTAGAGCAGTAGCAGGCACACAGGAAGTGCTCAGTGATCATTAGCTGTTGTTATCAAGCACTTCATGACAGTTATTCTTTGTAAGGCCTAGCATAGATGGTGCAGAGGTGAGAAGGGGGAATCCCTGCCTCTCTTGAGGCTGACACAGCTGGCTGGGAACAAGAGACCCCCGGCCTTTCTAGGGACAAGCATTTCCTAGGCCCACTCCTGTGCCCGTCACATATGGCTCCTGTCCCTGGTGAGCGGGAGTCTCTGAGGCCTGATCCCTCTTGGAGTACTTGAACGTGACTGGTAGGTCCTTGCGAAAATGGTTGACATCCTCTACGAAGTTATCTTTATCCTAATCTCTTGGGCCTGGGGGCCTGATCATGTCTGATTTATCCAAGTGCTTGCAGACTCAGCAGATGAGCCTGCTGTCATTCTCACAGAGCTCTGATGTGAGACGCCCTCACAGGAAGCAGGATTCTGTTCAGTACCGAGCGGGCTCATCTCAGGTCTGCCTGTGTTCAGGCCTGCACCTGGACCAGAACCCTGGACTGGGGCTCACCAGCCACGGCCTCCTCCCTTTATGCCTAAACCCTGAGCGGGAGAGCCATGAGAGGCACAGTGTCCCCTGGTCACCTGCTTTATGGCCTGTGCTCATTGCACACTATCTGTGGTGATGGTGAGGCCGCAGGCTGGCCACCTCCAGCCTCCTGCACTGCTCCGGGTCACCACCGCCTTTCAGGATTCAGGAGGTTGTCCTAAGCATCATTAGTAAGATGCGTCTGTTGCAGCCAAAGACAGTGTGTCGTGTGTTCCAGAGCCAAACAGAAATGACAGCACGGGGTTTTCATGTTCCTGCTGCATTCTTTTCTCTTCCTCACTCCCTTGTTAGCTACCATTTCAGGCCAGGTCCGCTGTGCATTCACCGCAGCACTCTGAATTAGGGAGGTTACATTCTGTACAGACAGCTCTGAGGAGCTGCGCTCATCTCTGTGGCCCTGAGCTGGTTGCTGTGTGCCCTCCTCTGTACCCTCTGGTCTTCATTCCATCAGCGTTTTTCAAGCACACAAGTGGTTGTACCATTTGCTTTAGGTGACCCACATCAGATCCCAGCCATGGGGCTTTTGTCTAAGGCCCTTCCCCGTGTCTTTCAGATTCTGGGCATGGCCTTCTCCATGACCCTCTTCCAGCACATCCACCGGACTGGTAAAAAGTACGATGCCTGAGCGCCGGCGGGAGCCCCAGCGGGAGCCCCAGCCCCCATGCGGACACTGTGCCAGGGAAGGAGATTTGAGCTTTGTGTTGCCTGCCCGCACTCCAGACTGCTGACCCCCTGCCCCCGCCTCCCCCAGCCGCCCTCGCCACCCACCCCGCCCCAGCCTTCTTGGGGTGGAGGGCCAGGGAGGAGGAGGCACAGAGACCTTGGGGTGCTGGGGGTGCCTGGATTCCTGCATCTGTGTATTTGCCAAAGAAGACAGGGTGGGCCAGGGGCCATGCCCGAGGAGGCCCCAGCACTGACGTGTGTCCACCCGCCCTTCCTCACACTGACGCTGTGCCCGCGTTGGGGGCAGCAGAGGCTCGCTCCCGGTGGAGAGACTGCCCAGCAGAGGCCACCCTGTGGGAAAGGGGCGAGGCTGCCTCCAGCCAAGGTCCCAGGGAGCACCTTGCCCAGGCTTTTTATACCTTACAGTGTAACTTTTTTATTTTATTTTACTCTGATTACGATTATTCAGGAATATTATCTCAGATAAGTTTAGGGTTAGCTTTCTGATTTATAACTTTTTACTGCGTTGATTTCTGTAACGGTTTGATTTTTTTTTTCCTTGAGGGTGGGAGATGGGTGGGAGAGAGGACGTCGTCTGGTTTCAATCAGGAGAAACCACTGTGCAACACTCAGGAGGTGCTCAGGCGAGATGCGCCAGCCTGCACTCAGGACACACTGAGAGGAGGGCTGGCCCTGGCCCGGGGCGTCTGTGGCCCAGGAACCCGGAAGAGGGGGTGAAATGGAGGAGTGGGAGGCAACGTGGAGGAGTGTCCTGCACGGGAGCGATATGTTTGCGAATGCTGGTGCAAGAGGCCAGAGCGGGGCGGGGGTGGGGGGGTGGCTGGTGAAGTGCTTTGCCAGGAACATGGCTGGAGCAGTCGTGGGTCGTTCCACTTCATCGATGAGCAGTTGTTCTTTTTCCTTTCTTTCCTCCTGCCGTCTGCTGGCACAGGAGGCTTCCCCTTCCCCCATGCGGGCCTTCCCGCCACAGGTTCTGCAGACCCAGTGATTTCACAGACATTCCTGCTAGAAGCTCTCAGACACATACCTCTAGTTCGGCTGCTGCTCACTTTCTCACACTGCTTCTGGAAGGGGAAGCTCTCCTGAGGGTTTGCTGCTTGGACAGTGGCAGAGGACCCCTGACAGTCAGGAGGGGCGGGTGGAAACGGTGCCCACGATCATTCCAGCCGGGTTCACGGGGCTGCGGATTTCCTGCTGGGAGGAAGGGAGAGAGGTCCATCCAGGTCCAAGGACCCTCATCTCCTTCCTCGGGGTTCATTCATGGTGAGGTGGGTGGTAATCATCACATCCTCTGTGACCCCAAGAAAAAGTACAGAAAATGAAGGAGGTCAGACTGGATGCTGTTAAGTAGCGCCAGGACAAAGGCAGCCTGAGGCAGGACCTGGCAGGTGGGCGGGGCATTGGACTGCAGCGGGGTGTCCCACCTGAACTGAGGCTGGTTTCAGTGAGCATTTGCAGTTTAGGGAAAAGTCAAGAATCCGTGGGACGGAGCTTGAAACGCTTCCCCACTAGCGAGGTAGGACCCACCCGGTGCACTTCCCCTGGTGGGGCCCCACAGGTGGCTGCCGTCTCCTCCACCACTTGGCTCCGTACCTAGTTTCCCCACCAGGCCCACATCTCTCTGGCCTCCACCTGTCTGTTCCAAGAGCTGAGACTTGGCCACCCTGCCAGCATCATTAACCATAAGTGCAGCACAGTCAGGGCCAGGAGTATTGAACTTTTGGTGAGCTCAGGATTCACGTTTTTGGAGGGTGGGGAGTAGAGTAGCCTCCGTGAGCTGGGCAGTAAAGCCACCCCCCGAGACAGGAGCACTGGTGCAGATGTGGGCGTGGGGAGGGTGGGGCCTGGGTGGAGGATGGACAAGCACACATTTGAGCAAAACTGTCTTTGGGTCCTCTGGCCCTTCTTCCTGATAAGAAGCTTCAGCTGCCTCCCCAGGTACCCCAACCTGCCGAGCTCAGAGCAGACGTGCTGCCGGGCCATTGTGGAGAGACACTCAGCAAACAAGCATTCAGGTTGCACAGCGGGACCTGGTGCATAATGAGTTTATGCTGGGGGTGGGGGTGGGTCGGGTTTGTTTATGCCTATCAATGCAATTTTTAATTTTTGTTAAAATCAACAGCAAAAGCCTAGCACCGTGGGGGCTGCGTAGTCTCCCTGGCAGTCTCGTTTCTGGGGCTTCAGGGGCATCCTCTGGCCTTGCAGCCCTTGCCACAAACCCCCTTCCTGCTGCGAGCCCCCCACCTCACTCATCTGTTCACGCAGCCTTGTCCAGTTTCCATACTCCCTTCTCACCTCACCCTGTGCTTGGTTGGCAGACTCGGCCAAATGGTTCCCTCATTTGACTGAGTCTGCACTGGGCGGAAGGTGCTGTGCGTGGGCCCAGGTGCTCTCCCAAGCCCCTTGTCGGGCCCCCACTGCACAGAAAGCCTCAGTCGTGGCTTCCCTTATGAAAGTCAGAGTTAGTTTAATCAGGTCTGCTGCAGGCAGTTTACAGAAGGCTCAGAAGGTCAGGGTCCTGTAGACAACTTCAAGGGAATGCCTGCTGTGGCCGTTCTCGGCAGCCATCTCAGGGGAGGCCCCGTGGGCAGGGGCTGAGCGCTGCTGCAGCAGGTGTCAGCGCGAGTCTCCCTGCGCTCTCAGCTGGAGCACTGCCTGCCCTCTTCCTGCGGGCCTGCGCCTGCGTCTTGGGCTCGCTCTCTGAAAACCCTGCTCAGCCCACCGGGATGCTCACGCAGGTGTTCTGGTGTGACTTGGAACTAGGTGGCCATCCCTCTTTGTTTTAGTGGCCGAAGAGCAGTCAGATGGAAATGACTGTCCCTGGCTCTCTGGCCCCCTGCCCACCCACTGGTGGAGGTGCTAACTAGCAGGGACCTGGCATAGGACGGGAGCTGGGGCCAGGTGCATGGGGTGTGCTCTTTGTCCCTCGGCCCTTCCGAGTCTGGCTGCTCCTGTTCCGATCCTCCCATTTCCCTCCTCATCCTGCAGCGGAGCAGTAGTCCGGGGCGGAGCCTGGCCTCCCTGCCCCGACGGAGCACTCTGAGGGCAAGGCCTTGGGGCTGTGCCCACACTCGGCCCAGCCCCGGAGCAGCACGGGAGAGCAGGGTAGCACGCCTGTTGGTTTCAAATGCACTTTTCTGCTTGTGATGCCGTTTCTGCATTTCCTTCATCCTGGTCCTGGCTTTATTGAACGCCATGTTTTTAGCATGTTTTTAAATAAAAACTGATGATGTGTCAAAAGCACAAGGATGTTGTCTCTTTCTGGTGTGTTTGTTCACTCAACCATGACTGACTGATTTCATGCTGTAGTTGCTGTGAGAGACCTGGGGGTATCAAGCGCCAATTCTGCTCTTTGTCCAAGATACACCCCATAGCTGGGACCTCATCTCTCCTTCTTGGGCCCAGGTTACAGATATGCTGGGTTGGGGTGGGGGCCCTCTGTGGGTGCCTGAGGAATCCTAACGCCTTCTCTGCCCGGTGACATGGTGCAGCTTTGGTTGAGGGCCTGTCCAGGTGGCCCAAACCCTCTGCCTGAGAGCCAAGCTCCCACCTGCATGTCTGTCCTGCCCAGACCACCAGTCCTGTGGGCCAGACCCACAGTGGGCTGGGAGGGGGACAGCAACGAGTCATTCATGGCTTACCCGGGGAGCAGGGACTGTCAGTGTTAGGTACACTATCTCCCCAGTCCCTCTGATGGCCCTGGGTTTCATCTGAGCCTGATGTCTCTTCCAGGAGCATGGGGGCCTTGCAGTGTGACTTTGCCTGGGCAGCACTCTCTTAGGTGGCTCTGAAATGGCCTCAAATGGGCACAGAAACACCGAGTCAGTATGGAGTGGTCAGCGGGGAAGGAGGGAGGCATTGAAACCATGTGAGCCCACTGATTCTGCCACTTCACTACAGGAGAAGCCTCCCAGCTTCCTTGGTGGCCGTAGTCACGGTGACAGGTTGCAGATGAGAGAAGCTCAGATGTCATCCTGCCCTGGGCCATTGCTGTACCTCATGTACCGGGCTGGGGGGGCTGGGAATGAGGGCCGAGTGTGCAGCATGGGTGTGATGGGTGCAGGAGAGACATCTCTCAGCCCCTCCATGCGTGGAGGTCTGGCTCCCTCCCTCCTCCTCGGGTGAGGCCAGGTGGGCATGGAGCTGTCCCAGAGCATCAATCTTCGGGGTCCCATCCTGTGGCTGCTGTGTCCTAAAGCCTCCAGGGGTTTGCTGAGGGTTGAGGAGTCTGAGGTGACCCATCTGTCAAAGGTCCAGCTGGAATGAGGTCTTTGAGTGCCTATCCAAGGAGATTTACCAGAGGGGACCTTGTGGCTGTGGGATCAGGAGTTGGTCATGGCTAAGGGACGGGTGCCCCTCCATCATCCTCTGAGGACCAAACAAGTCATAGGGATGTGGGTGGAAGCTACTTCCTCTCTGCCCATTTGTGCTCCCTCTCACCCTGGCCCCTCAGCCTGTGGACCCACCCACTGGAGTGGCCCCTGGGTCTCTGTGCTGTCTGCCTCTGGGGAACAGAGTGAAACCCATTGGCTCCCAGGGTACTGGAGTGCTCCGACTTCTCTGTGGGCACTGGGCTCTGGTCAGATGAGCTAAAGCCGTGGAAGGCAGGCCACCCTGGCTAGGCAGGAGAGGAGAGTCCGTGGGAGGACAGAGCTGGGTATCTTTTTCCCTGGAGACTAAGCTAGAGCATCCTGGAATGGGTCCTGGGCTCTTCAGCCCGTGGGATGGGGTGGCTGAGATGACTCTGGGGTCCCTCCCTTCCTCCCCCATTCTTGTGTGCAGTGATGGGTTAGGTCCTGCCTCCCGTTGGCACCCAGCAAAGGCCAAGTGAGATAGGATGGTTTGTGAGCCACAGCACAACAGATTTAGTGTGCATGTGGGAACGTCCTTAAAATGGCCCATCCGGGGCTTGCAGACAAGATGTTTACCACATTGAGACTTTTTGAATACCAGCTTGTGCCGAGCAGCCTGAATACAGTGGTGAACAACCCAGGCCCAATCCCTGTGCTCGCAGAGGAGTAACTGGGATGGCAACTCAGGCTCTGGTGGTGATGTGCGCTGGGTGGCCCCCCAGCTCAGTGACGTCACAGCCGAGAGCTGAAGAAGGAGGAGTTAACCAGGCCAGGAGTGGAGGGAGGCGTGTCCTGTTGATGTCACTGGGGCTGGCGCACAGAAGGTGAAGGGGCTGTCTGGGGACAGCAGCCGCTGCCAGGTGAGAGTTTGAGCTTTAAGCGAAGAGCGATGGGAGCCACTGAGAGGCGTGAACCCCGTGGGACCGGCTCAGACCCGCCCTTGAGAACCGTCGTGGCTGCTGTGGAGTGGAGAGTGGCTGAGGGCACAGGGTGGATGTGGGGAGTTCAGGGGGAGGCTGCTTCAGTGATTTGGGTGAGAGGTGGTGCAACCCTCAAAAGTGCCAGTGGGGTGGAGGAAAAAACAGATTTGAGAGACCCACAGCAGGGCTGACAGGCCTTGGTGACTAACTAGACTTACTGTGGGGAGAAAGAGCATTCTGGCCATTCATCCGGTACGACGTGGATGACCGCACACGTAGGTGACTAATGATTTTCACCAAATGGAGGGTGGGCGTGTTTTCTGGGCTGAGCGCTCAGGGGCAGAGACCAGCATGGTGCAATTACACCTTTCCTTTTGTTTGTTTTGAGCATCACAGCTTGCAGAATGCTTCCCTAGACATCATCTAGGTTTGTCCTGACCACAAGTGTGTTATCAGGTGTCACTGTACCGGGTCTGGGTGGGAAGAGCACAAGCTTGGGGGTTGGAGGGCCTGGGGGAGTTCCCGCTCCGCAGCTGCTGCCCACGTCAGCCGTCAGCCTTGTTGTGGTCGTTGAACTTGTCTTGGTTTTGTCATCTGCAAAACGAAGATAATACATTTTACAGATTTGCTGTGAAGAGCAAATCAAAACATGTATGTAAAAACATCCAGCTTGTTCCTGGGCCAAGGTAGGTGCTTGGCAAGAAAGCTGTCCAATCTGGGTCCTTGAGGGTCCCCAAGGATGAACAGCCCCCTGGCTGAAAGCTGGGTCACAGGGGAGCGATCTGGAGGGGGAGTGAGCCGTCAAGAGGAGACGTGCAGGGAGTGCCTCCCGGGCCTCCGCTCCGCTCTGGGCAGGCTGCTGCAGCATTCCACGCCGCACGGAAACAAGGGGGAAGTCAGACTCAAGGAATGCCATTTGGGGCACAAAAATATTGGCATTGCAACGGCCCCTTCCTAAAGCATTCGGTAAAGATTGGGAGGCTATTGATTTAACCATCTCATCTTGCTGAGTTTAATGACGGCCGCGGAGATGGACTCTTACGGCTCCTTATCCTAACAAAAAAGAGCAGCAACATGCCACAGGACATGGCTGAGCCAGGCTCTCCGACTGGAGCTGGAATTTCCCCTTTATGGGCCCAGAGTCTGCGGGTAGCTGAGAGTCCCTGGGGCATCCCTGGGCACTGCCCAGTTCCCCTGGGCGTCAGTTGACACAGTGGAAAACAGGGATGTGAACAGCAAGGCCACATGGTGGTCTGTGGCTGGGTCTGGCGGGTAGAGCATAGTGTCCAGAGGTTCCTCTCCTGGCGGCTGCAGAGTTCTGGGACCTAGCCTCACCCGTTGTCCAAAGCAGGACCTGTCCTACACGTGGGCAAGACCAGCCCATGTTCTGTCATTTAATGGCATCAGGAAGCTCCTTGCCCTTTTGTCTCCCTCCTCCCACCCTAGCTCTCCCCAACTCAATCTCTGTAATCTCAATATATTTCTTTTTCTCTGTCAAAAAACCGCAGTTCTAGAGAGAACTCAGCCTTCTTATTTTTCTGGTTGACAACTCAGGGACAGCATGTGGAATGTGATATCTGGTTCCCAGCTTGGGGGTTCCTAAACCCTAGTTAGGGATCCATGGCCGCTTAGGAAGCTGTTCATGACCTCTTCAAGGAGTGCCCAGGCTAATTCCCCGTCTTGGCTCTGGCTGGCCTGGTTCTGGTCTCCGTGCAGAGAACCAGAGTCCCGCCCAGCTTGAAGTGGCCCACCCTGCGGCAGCTGACAGGCTAGTGGCAGTCACCAAAGGTGGCGGCTTCAGCAAAGGCTTCCAGGCCCTCACAGGCAGCCAGAGCCCTTTAGACGGCATGGGCAGCCACCCACAGGGCTGTGCGCGGCAGGGAGGGCCCTGCGGGGGTGCCCCTCGTCTTTAGGCACACTCTTGTACGTGTGTGTGTGCATGTGCACACACTCACACTCACAGTGATGGTGGAGGTGAGCAGACATTGGGCCCTAGGAGAGAGGTGACCGTGAACTTGCCCCAGGCTGGGCCCATGCCCCTGCTGACCTGAAGGCCGTTGGAGGGCTGCCCCTGCGATCACTCAGTGAATGATCTTGACCAAAGGGGCCGGGAGACACAGGGGAAGGGCCAAGAGATGGCGATCCCCTGCAAGGTGGGTCCCACCTAAGGGGATCCCTCTGCTTACACAGCCAGCAAGCGGGGCAGACCCTCTTCAGGTTCACTCCAGACGAGTGGCTCGCTCCCAGCCTGCACCCCCACCCCCACCTTACCCTGAGTCCCTCCCTCGTGGGATTCCCAGCGTCCAGCTTTCCCAGGTGGTCTTCGGGCTCCCTCATTGACCCCACCCCATCTCAAGCAAGTTTCCTGAACAGAGCAGTGAATGAAATAGAATGAGTCCTTTATGTTAGAGCGTTTACTTCCTTTTAGCTCCTGACTGGGCAACCTGGTGCGCTCAGCTCCTCTGAATCCTGAGGTTGAAGTCTATTTGCATTGGGATGAAAAATGCCTCCCTCTGGTTTGGGAGTGAAGACCAATTAGTGTCCAGCTGGGGAGATGCTAGCACTCTGGGGTGAGACGGCCTGTGGCTCTAAGGAGCAGTAGAAGGTTGTCTCAGCTAGAAATGCTTGGCTGGGAGCCTGATGGCCGGCCCGAGCGCCCCTCGCTGCTGACCTCCCCGCACACCCTGCCTCGGCCGCGGCCAGCAGGGGGTTACCCACCGCAGGACAAGCAAACCCCAGACTCTTTAATGGAGGCTGGGCCGCCATCACGACTGGCCGTGTGGGAACGCCGGCCGAGCAAAGGCAGGGAGCTTTAAGAGGAACCCAACACTGACACGGGCGTTCGAGCCTGGCTCTTACTTGCTGCCAGGAGCTAATGGCACTCATGGGAAGGTGAGGTCAGTGCCAACAGCAGGCCTGGGAGCTGACAGGAGAAGGGCAAGCAGGCCCCTAACTAGTCTGGTCGGTGGTCAGGGCTCCCCTCCCCGCTTCTCTCCCTGTCCCCATGACTGGCCTCTGTCTCAGCGTGGAGGGTTGAGTCACAACACGTCTGATGAGCTGATGGCCTGGCATTTCCCTGCAGAGGAGGTAAAACAACAACAGAAGGTAGTCCTAAGACTTGCACCTAGGGAGGGTGCAAGGAGGGGGCTTGTTTACAACTAGGGTGGTTTCTCTACGTGACAGGTTGAGGCAACTTCTCTGCCTGCAGAATATTGTGACAACCATGTCCAGGGAAGCTGGTTCCAGGAGCCCATCTGGCCTCAGTAATATTGGGCCACCTGGACATACATGTGGCACTAGCACTGGGTGTCCATGGTGCCTCCGCAGGAGGGAAGAGGGCACATGGGAGGCCGAGGGATGGAGCCCAGGGCTGAGCGTTGTGCTGACAGAGAATATGGGGGTGGCGAGAAAGGAGTGGGGCAGGAGGTGGTGGGAAGAGAGGCTGGACTGGAAACCTGTTCTCTCTGGGCAGGGGACCCAGGCACCTCTCTCCCAGCCAGGGCCACAGACCCACTCTGAGTCCCACTCGAAGTCCCAGACAGAGAGGGCAGGGCAGGTGCTGGGGGATGCACAGCGGCAGAGGCACCGCCCTGGCTGGCGGCGAACTGCCCGTAGAGGCCCTGTTTCATCCCACCGTCTCACAGAGTGGCACCCAAGCTAGACAGCCTGAGGGATTTTTGAACCCCGGGGGCTGTGAACTACAAAGGAAAGTGGCCACGTGTCCTTAGCGCTGTGGCCTAAAGCAGTGGCTCTCGAAGTGTGCTTCCAGGGCCAGTAGCATCCACATCACCTAGGAACTTTCTAGAAACACAAATCCTTGGCCCTACGCCTCTGGCGGGGAGGGAGAGGGGCAGCAGTCTGAGCTAAAAAAGCCCCCCCAGCGACCCTCCTGCAGGCTCAAGTTTGAGAACTTGCAGGTGGAGACACTTCATTGCCAGCATCGTTGGTGGATGTAAGAGCCATCCAGCAGTGACACAAAATATGGGGGTTGGCCTTAGCCAGTCAAGCCACTTCCCCTTCTCCATTTCTGTCCCAGGCCCAAAGAGTCCAGTAAATGGAGAACGTTTTCAAGGCTGAGAGGAGGATGGGGATGGTGGTGAAAGGAACTGTTTTAAGTCACATCCTCTACCTCGAGACCCTGGAGTTGGACCCGGAGCAGCAGATTCTAAGACCAAAACTGGCTGTGGGGTGTGAGTGTCCTGGGGGCACATGGCCAGGGCCAGGCCTATGGCCAGGCACAGGGTGTGTGGCCTGATGAGGGCCTCCGCCCGAGGCAGCTCACAACCTGAGCCCGCCCAGAGCGCCGGCATCGGCAGTTGGGTGGGGGGAGGCAGAAGGGGGCAGTTTCACCCCCCCCAGGGCACCGCCTCCCTGCCCAGGGCGGCTCTGTGAGCGCAGGAGACCCCATGGGGCTTGGAGAGGCATGTCCTGCTCCCTTGCCAGCCCTCCGTGCCCCCAAAACGTTGGTGTGCACACAGACATGAGATTTCACATCCTTTTGAATTCTCGCTGCGGAGGGAGGTCTGCCCTCGCTTTGGCGTTGGCATCTGCACGGGCACCGGTGGTGACAGGCCAGGCGCTCCCATGGGCAATGGCTCCGGGCGCCTGCTCGTTGCCTGAGACACTTCGCCAGGAGGGTCCAGCTGTCAGCCTGAAGGAGCCAGACTTCCCTTCCAGCTGCAAATGTGCAGGGCTCCAGCGCATGGGGTTGCGGGGCGGGGCAGGCATATGGAGGGTTCTGTCCCACCAGGGAGGGGCTGTGAGGCTGCTGCTCCTTCACGGCGCCCCTTGAGGGACAGGTGGCTCTTCAATGTCAGCCTGACGGTTTCTTACAGAGAACTGAGGGGCCCTGGGGAGAGGGGGCGGCATGACAACCGCCGCTGCTACTGACTGCCAAGCAAGTCTCCCAACTTCTGTGGACCTTCATTTCCTCTTCTGTAGATTGGGGGAATATACCCCATTATCGCAATCACTATGAGATGAGCTATATACGTGATGGACACATTCTAAGTGCACAGTAGGCCTTCTGTAAACACAAGGTCCTGGACGCCACCCCCATATGGCTATGCCCCAGGAGCTCCTGGAGCTGGGGAGGGGGAAGGGAGAAAGAGAAGGATGGCCCCCTCCCCAAAGGCTGAGTTACATTCCTGTGTCCCCAAACACGTGTCATCCAGGGAGTTGGGGGATGTGCCACTCTCTCTCCCTCTCAGGCTGGCTGCCCCCACGGGCTGAGGGAGGGAAGGACAGCTTGGTGAGTTCAGGGGGAAGGTGTGGTGACCTTGGCTGTTTGATGTTCCAGCACCTGCTGTGGGCCAGACCTCTGCAGCGCTGGCTTCTTCTCTGCGCCCTGGTGTGCCGGGGCCTGGGGCCCACACAGGACCGTGCTGGCTTTCGGCGGGCATGCCCCGCGCTCTCCAAGGCACTCGGGACTGTGACAGCCTCCAAGCAGGGGCTTGGGAGCCTGGGCACAGATCTGTTTGCTCACGGGCAGGACCGCCGCCCCCTGCAGGGAACAGCACCGCAGCTGTGGACGCCAGCCTTTGGCCCGCCCACGGGGAACTGGCCCTGTCCTGAGCCTCTGTTCCTCCAATGTTGTTTCATTTCCCAGGCTGTCGGCATGAACAAGGAGGTCAGAGTCCCAAAAGGTTCTGCGCTGTTCTCTCTCTCTCAGCTTGGACCAGCCCGCCATCCCCCCAGTGGCACTCAGGACAAGACGCTGCCCAGCACTGGAACCACAGCTCACCTGCCCTCTGCCAGGCCGGCCTAGTGCAGTACAGGAGGCTGGGGCAGAAAACCGGGCTCTCCTGGTCTCCCCCGGTGACGAAGCTGTGCAAGTGATACCCGCCCATCCCCCCACCCCCATCTCCACAGGCCTGGGTGACCTCAGTAAAGAAGGAAGGGACCCCACCAGGGGCAGGCATGTAACAGGGCCACAGCCCCCCCCATTGTCGCCCCCTTGGGCCCCTCGTCAGGAAGAGCACGGCTCTCTCCTTCTCAGCCCTCATTTGCTGAGACTTGTCGTCCTGACGTCTGGCCCTGCAAAGAGCTTGGGAGTCCTCGTCATTTTTTATTTATCTGCATGAATCCTGGGAGGTTGGCGGGGGTCGGGGGGGGGCAGCAACGACGATCACACCACCGTTTCCCTTGTCCTTGCTGCAGTCTGGTCTCCCTTCTAACAAATTCGTGTTCACCTCCCCAAGGTCCTCTAGGTGAAGGCTCTAAGGCAGCCAGAGTCCCCACAGCCCCTGGAGGGTCCCCAAGGCGGGGAGGCAATCTGCCCTGGGAAGCGGGCCCTCCTCTGTGCATGGGGCCATCCCTGTTCTGAGGGTGTGCAGTTTCTGCTCAATTGAGGGCTGCATTGGGGGACAGCAGTCACCTGTGCATGGGAGAGACAGCGTCCTTCACCCAGGACTGACCCAACCCAGCAGGAGCTGAGCTCATGAGACTGAGGACTAGAATGAGTGCGGAGGCAAGGCGTGACCTTTCTTGGCCTTGGTTTCAGCACAACAAGGGACCACCTCTCATGAGGGGGACATAAGAGTGTCCCCAGGAGGGGAGCACAGGACCTGGGAGGTGCGAAAGCTGGTGCGAATTTTCCCCGACAGAGTTGCCCACTTGTCACAGCTATTTGAAGGGGTCCGCAGAGCTGTCTTAGCAGTTGACACCTGTTCTTTGGAAAGCTGCCAGCACCTACACACTGTATTTTCTAGGACTTGCTTTCTGTTCTCCCTTAGTATCTGGGAAGGTTCTTCCTGAAGATTCGCTGCCTCATTCAGAGATGTGAGACAGAAACAAAAGGAGGGACTGTGCTCACTCTGGGGGGCAGAGTGAGGTCCCTGGAGGCTGCATGTGGGTGGCCTCATGGCCAGGGAGCATGGACCCAGGACAAGCGAGGTGCAGGGCAGAGCACCCCTCTACTTGCAGCTTTACCTTCTCAGTGGCCCCAACTTTGCAGGGTCTGTGATTTGGTCTAATTGGGAGTTTGACACCCACCTACATTAAGAGCCGAAGGTTTAAAATCCTGGCATTCCTGAGAATCAGACCAAAGACAGGAGATTCCCGAGGGGCAGGCCACTGGAGGCTGGGGCCTGGGGCCTCGTCTCCCAGGGCATCCGTCCTCCCCAGGGGAAGGCCTTGAGGCGGCGCAGGGTCCTGGTGCAGCGTGTGCTCGTGTAGCCCACCCCGCTGCCTTGCTCGCCCTTAGGCCTGCCACTGCCCAAGACCCCGCCCCCAGCTGCCTCACCTCAGTCTCTCCACTCCCGGACCCTCAGGAAACTCCTTTCCCTTGAGAAGGCTTCAGCGTGGGCAGATCAAAGACCTAGGACTTCTGGGGGCAGAGACAACCCTGACTGCCCCACGCTGATGCATTTCTGAGAGGCAAGAGCAACACACCCAAAGCCAGGGCAGAGGTGAGAGGAGGGCTGTGGCACTGGCAGGGGTCACGCTGAATGCCAGGTCCAGGGGGGTCAAGGTTATAGCCCTTCGCTGTAGGTTCAGGAGCTGGGAGGGAGCAGAGTCCAACTCTCTTTCACCTTCCTGTGGTTCGTGGGAGCTTCCTGCTTGGTGAGGGCTTTGGCTGTTGTTTGGCAGAAAGAGTTCCCTGCCTTGGGGTTCTGACACTGAGCACTCAGGAGTGGAGGAAGGAGCTGAGGGTCCCGGTTGGGGTGGGAACCGGAGGGGCCGTGGTCTTGGGCACTTAGTGGGTCCGAAGGTGGTGAGCATCGAGGGAATTTCTGGGAGTTCCTAGGTGAGCTGAAGCTGATGCCACAGGTCTGGCAGATGGGATCTGGGCTCCTGTCCTTGTGAGAGGCAGTCAGAGGGGGACACGGTTGGCCATTAGTGAAAATGCAGCTGGAGCCTCCGGTGCAAGCAGCAGGTGAGAACCATTCCGCAGGTCTGCCGCGTGGAGAGAATAGAGGGGCAGAGAGGTCAGGGTCCCACTGCGTTAGGGCTGCGCAGTGCCCCAGGGCGCAGCTTCTCATAGGGGGTGCACGCCTGGAGACCCTGACAAGGCCAGGTTCCCACTCAGGAGTGGGGCCGCTGGGATTCTGCAATTGCAACAAGTGCCCAGTGACGCTGGGGCCACCTGCGAGGGGAACACACTCTGAGAACTGCTATCCAAGAGCAGTATTTCTCACACGTTAATGGGGATGAATTACCTCGTTCTGGGTGAGCGCCGAGGTTCTGCATGGCTAACGAGCAAACGAGCGCTTGGTTTGAGCTGCTGGTCTGCAGTCCAGAGCTTCTCCAGGGACAGCCTGATCGCTCTCTGCCCGAGCAGCCTTTCTCCAGGAGCCTGTCTGCACCCTGCTGCTCGACTCCAGAGCAGAACCCACTGCCTTCGATGATTTTGGCCGATGTGCAGGAGCACTGGGGAAGCCGAGGCTCCGAGAGGAGCACCCAGAGCTCTCCCTGGCTTATCCCACAAATCAGCTTGGAATGTGCCGCCAAACCAGGCCCTAGCAGCCAGCCTGACAGCCTCTCTGCCACACTCACTCGCCAGACAAGAAGGGGCCAGAGCGCCCCGCCTACTGCAGGGCCGTGCTGGGCGGTCACTTTCTCCTGCTGTCACTTTCCTGTCCCCGCACCACCGAGGACCTTTATTCCCCCATCCCCCGCCTCATTTGCTCTTCATTTGCCTCCTTCTTCCTTCCTCCCAGCCAAGGGGCACTGAGGACAAGATGAAGATGTGTTAGACCAAGGAGGCGCACGACTGCGATTGCGCCCCTGATGCTGAGGCCGCTGGGGCCTGCCGGAGGGGGCGCTGTCAGCGCAGCCCCGAGGCTGTCCTGTGCCCGCGGGCGCAGTGCATTTCCCCAGGGGCAGGAACAATGCCCCGTCCTTTTCAGTAGCTACTGTGACCCATAGGAGGAGGGCAGGCTGGGAAGATTCCTACAGGCTGGCAGGCCCTTGGTTTCTCTTTGCAAGGCTAGCTTAAGAGTTAGTGAAAGCTGTCCCCTTCTTCTTCCCCTTCCTCCCTCCTCTCCATCCTAACATGGCAGGATGGTGGGGCCCTGTGAACACAGCTTTCAGACTTCAGACTTGGTGTAAGAGCAGAGCTAATCTACCTCGGTTACTCAGAGTCGCAAGCCGAAAGGCGGCTGAAGAGGTTATCCTGTCTTCCACTGGCTTTAAGCAGGCGGCTGGCACAGCCATTCCACACAGGCATCGTGCCTCATGCCCTCTTCCCTGTCCCCCTCCCCACCACAGTTTAGTGGCGTGCCTGGTGGGGTTACCTGGATCTTTATGATCCTTGCTAAGGGGGAAGCCAGAGGGATCAGGTGCACCAGCACAGACTTGTGGCTACACCTCCTACGGTGCACACCTCATGTCGGGAGAAGATCGGAAGAGATGAGCTCCTAGCATGTGCGCCCTCGTATGATACTTGTGTTCCCAGGGTGCCTCCCAGGGATGTCTCAATGAGGGTGGAGGTGTGCGAGCCAGAATCTCATCAATGTCTGTACACACACACACACATACTCTCCCACTCACACTGCCCCTGTGCATGCAGTGTAGAAGGGTAACGGATGCACTCATCAGTGTGTGTGCACATGTACACACTCATGTGCACGCACACCCCCCATCCCCCATTCAGATCCCTGAATGAGTGGCAGCCTCTCCTTCCTGACAGGGGACATGCAGAAATCAGCGCAGAGGCTCAAGCGGCCCGCACCACGGCGAACAGAGAAAACACGCAAGTAGACTGCAGGAGCGGGAGATGGCTGCCTGTACCCGGCCTCCATGGGGTACGGTGCCCCCTCTGGATGTAGCACTTGGCACACGCGGGGCTTTTTAACAGAGAAGCCAGCATGCTTTCAGCTTCTACTGAGGTTTTTGAGCCAGCACGCAGCTGTCATCAAGGGCATCAAGGAAGGGCCGCGAAGTCCCCGGAAGCCATTCCAAAATGACCTCTGGTTTCCCTTCATGCCCTGCAGATTCCAATCTCACTGCCTTTGTGAGACAGTTTTCTGGGCTCTGCAACATGTTTCCATCCTGCAGTGTGGGGATGTTGGGTGGGAGTGGGTTAACTTCTATTGGGAGCTGTGTGGCCTGGGGTACGGTTACATCCCTTTCTGAGCCTCAAGTTCCCCTCTATCAATAGGAAAACCTCTGACTTTAGGCTAGATTTCCTCCAGTTCTGGGAACCGGGGAGACATTATGCCACTATCTTGGCCTTGTCTATCCTGAGCCTTGAGGATCTTCGAGGTGCCAGGCTGGGCATGCGTGGGGAGGGCTGGTGCGTGCTCCGGCGAGAGGATGACTGTGAGCCCGAAAGCGAGTCCCCGTCTCACCTTCCTGTCTCTACACTACAGAGGACCTTTATTCTCCCGCCTTCACTTGCTCTTCATTTTCCTCCTTCCTCCTTCCTCCTCTTCCTCTTTCTCTCGTTCCTCCCACCCAAGGGGGCACCGAAGGGCGTGAGCCCTTCTTCAAGGCTGGCAGCTGACCTGGACTTGGGCAGCTTAGTTCCAGTGCTGGCCGGCAGAGGGAGCTGTGACCCGACGCTTGGCTGCTGCAGGGCCAGCCTCCTCTGAGGCCCGGAGGGGAGAAACCAGGAAGGGGCTGGGGCCCGTGGTGGAGGCCAGGAGACACTCTCTCTGGGGGACACTGGGAGCAATTCCACAGTGAGCTGGACCGAGACTTCACGGTGGGGGTGTGAGCGGACAGGAGGTACCTGCTGGCCGGCAGGCACCCCTGCCAGACAACTCGGCCGCCTCGACATCACCCCTACGGGTGCGCAGGGGCCACCCTGACCTTAGGCTCGGGCCCTTGGTAGTTCCTCCCTCACTGCCCTTGGCTTCGTTGCCCTGGTCTTCAGCTTCTACAGGCTCTCCAGGCCAGAGATGTCAGAAAGAAATGGACGGAGAGTATGGTCCTGGGCTGGTCAGCGCTCATGCAGGGCAGGCGCCCTCAATCCCTGAGGTAGAGAGCAGGTTTACAGAAACCTCAGCTGATTCAGGAGCCTGATGTGGAGCAGCCCCTTCCCCAGACCCCACCAGCAATTGCTCAGGGTTCAGTCTGTGGGGCTGAAGGCCTACCCTGGGGAAGCACAAGTCTGGTTCGTGTCACCTGGGCTCCCTGGGCCTGCTCCTGAGTGGGGGCGAAGGGGCTGGTGCGTCTGGCCAGAAAACGACCAGAGCTCTTTGGAGATATAATGTGCCACATGGAAGTGATAAAATAGTGGTGGGGACCACTTCCTGAACACCTGCTATCTGCCCTGCAGTGAGCCATGTGGTTGATGTGCATATTGCTGATCCTTACTGGTCACGAAACTAAGTATCATTAGCCCCACATCACAAAGGAGGAACTAAGGCTCCAAGGTGCAAAAAGCAGCCCTAGGTTATCCGGTTTCCCTCCAGGGGGTAGAGCCCCACAGGCTAGGCTCCTGGCACCCAGATGGACGCGGGCCGGCAGCAGAGGTCTGGAAGGGGCCCTATGCCGAGGCTCCCTGGGCTGGCCACCACTCACTGCTCCTGAGCCTTGGTCCACAGAACTGTGCTGGAGGAGGGAGTTTGGGAAAGCAAAGGACCCAGAAGTCCTGGGTGCCAATTCAGAATGAGACCCTCGGAAGTCATCTCTCTGGGCCTCAACTTTCTGGTCTGTAAAATGGGAGTACACTGCTACTTGCTGGGCCCTGGTCTCAGGCTGTGGGGTCCAACAGGAGAAAGGTTCTGAGCCACTCTTAAGTCTACAGAGTGTCCAGTTACGGAGAACTTCACCCCTGCCAGGTGCTGCTGGTGTTGTACGTATCACCTTGTTCGTATCTGGCATTTTTGTGGTTGGGGAAATGATCCACGTTTTGTGGGTGATGTCAAGGGGGCAGGGAAAGAACTGCTCAAGGTCACACAGAAGCAGAGGCAGGATTGGACCCGGGTCTCTGTCGTGCAGCCACTGGTCTTCCCCCTTCCCTAGACAGTGCTCATAGTACTGGCTGCGGGAAGGGCGGGGCAGGACTGATCTCCTTCCAGAACCTGCTAGGCTGAAGCAGGAGTGTCAGGCAAGGTGGGCAGGCAGGGCCCTTGTTCGCTGTATCTGCTCCTGCTCCTGGGAGTGTCCTTCCTGACTCCTTTCCTCTTGACCCTTGACTAGAGTGACCCAAGAGAGTAACACTCACTTCTGGGAAAGTGGCTGGGAGAGGGGTGGAGTGGCGAACTAGAGCCAAGGGCATGGCTCAAGCTCAGAGCAGAGAGCTGGGTGCACCTATCCACAGGTGTGCGCGCACACACAGAGGAATGCTTGCATGTTATGCATACACTCATACCACATGCACAAGCACACCCAAACAGATATCCCTGCATGCAACCCTGCCACGATGCATGCAGACACACCGATGGCCCCACACATACCTCAGCAGGCTGCACACTCACCCGCACGTGCACACACAGAGGGTGCATGCACATACCTGAGCCCACACCCATACTCGTCTCAGGTCTCTGTTCCTTACAAGGTCAAGTTGGCCCCCAGGCCAGGCATTTTCCTTTATGTTTCTGGGGGAGAGAGTGACCATGTGACTCATCGTGGGCTGCAAAAGGAAGGGGAGTGGAGGGCAGGGCAGAGCGTGGGTGTGCAAAGGGTCAGCGGTTGAGATCACAGCCCATGGGAGAGAGATTCAGAACTCTTCTAGACAGTCCCCTCTCCTAATCCCCTACTTAACTCACCTGCAGGCAGGCTACCCCGATGCCCACCGCCCCCATGAGCAGGAGATGGTTGGCCAGGAACTGTTCCAGTTTGGTGATGCAGCCTCCCTGCAAGGTAACAACAGGTCACACACACCTTGACTCAGAGGTGGGTGAGGATGGAGAGGGAAGGGCTGGCTGTGGCGCTGCATCCAATGGGCGGAGGAAAGGCCAGAGACTTATAGGGACTGCGCCAGCTTCTCAATTGCCCACAGGCTTCTAGGGTGACTCAGGGATAGGCCATGATGTTCCAGTAGCAGGTTCTTGTCTCCTTGGCTTTGTGCAGACCTTTAAAGGCCCAGCACTGTTGATTTCTGGCCAATAAATAAGTGGGCTCTCCTGCCCCCGACATCTGTCTGCCCTGAGCCTACTTTTTGGGGGCCCCTGGATAGCAAGCTGGAGCGAGGGTGCTCACCTCCACCTTGTAGATGTTGGAGGGGTGGGCCCTCTGGCCGCAGCGCGCCACCACAGTCTTGCAGCAGCTGTCGGGTACCCGGCGGCCCTCACCCTCCTGAGACAGGATGTAGGCGCTGTGCTGCCAGTCGGCAGAGCTGTTGCTCCCGCAGCACTTGAACTGGAGAGAGAGGCGGAGGCTGGAGGTGAGGCGCTGCGGGGCGGCTCCAGGGGCTTCCTTACAGGGAGCAGGACTGTTACTCAGTGACCAGCCCCTCTGCTCTCCCTGGGGCTCTTCCCCTCTTCTGTTTGGAGCAGGACCTGGTCTCTTTTCAGGCAGAATTGGCCTGCAGGTCACCTGTTTGCTTTCTTAAACACCCACCCAAGACCTTGAAGGAGATGAGGCTGGTGCCTGGGGGCAGGGAGGTGCACGCAGGTGGGTCCTCAGGAGCGTGGTGCTGCGGATGCTGGGGACAGAGCCCAGGGTGGGGCCACAGTCACAAGGGGCGGTTTCCTGGACATCCAAGGAGGCAGAGCCCCAGGGACAGGGACCCGCCTTGCCAGAGGTTTCCGGGGGCTCCCATTCAGGCCTTGAAACCTCAGAGCACAACAAGTGTGGGAGGAGCTCTAAATGGGCTGGCCAGCAGGTTGTGGGCAGAGGCAGACAGGTGTGGGTGCACCTGTGTGTACACAGGTCTCCTCGGCCACTTTGGAGGGAACGAGAGACCCCTATGTGTGGAGCTGACTGGGAGCTGCCGCACCAGTCTCAGGGATGTGGGGAAGGTGCCTCCCCAGCTGAAATAAGGTACCCCTGGAGCTCAGAGCTCACCACCCTCTACCTCTCCTCCCTGCCTTTGTTCCTGCGGAAAGACCAAGGCCTCAGGCCAGGTCTGTAGGTGCAGGATGGAGCAGAGACCATAGGTGGGGGTAGGGGGGTGGCAGGGAGAAGCAGTGTCAGAGCGGGCAGGGGGAGCCGCCTCACATCTTCAGACACAGAGCCATCAGGCTCCCGGGGTCCAGCTGTCTAATAGGACTTTCTGTGATGACGGCAATGCCCTGTGGCTGTGCTCTCCAACCGGGTGACCACTGGCCAGGTGTGACTATGGGGTCCTTGAAATGAGGCTAGTGCGTGTGACTGAGGAGCCGAACCGTATATTGAATAGCCATGCGTGGCTAGTGGCTACCATTTGGGACCACACAGGTCTGAGGCCTATTTGCCCTCCCTCCTCTTCTGGTAGGAGCATGGGCCTCACTGGAGGAATCTGCTGGTCTCTTCTTGGAAAGAAGAGACCACCTTGCTGCCCCACCGCGTTCTGCTGGGTGGTGCACAGCTGGCAAATTCTTCCCGTGGCTTCCCTGAAATACCTCGGCCCATTACAGTTCATGCCATGGGGCCTCAGCCGTCACCACCAGCCCCCTCCCCAAAGAGAAGAAAGCAGCCCCAGCAGTGGAAGGAGCCAGGAGCCGGAGTCCCCTGGGGCAGCCAGAGGGGAAGGCAGCAGGGTGGGGTTTGGGGAAAAGAGTCACGGGAGCCATGGTGGAGGGGGGCAGAGGAGGAGGAAGGGAAGTGCAGGATTCAGGAAAGCACTTTTCTGCCCGTGGAGCTTCCACACACATACACGTATTTCATGCTACGCCCTGTGAAGTTGAGAGAAGGTAGGTAACTCGCCGAGGGCTGCATGGCCACACGGACAGAGGGGACAGAGTCAGGACTGAACCCACGCCTGCGTGGCCTTCAAGCCCACGGGAAGGGCTTACATCCTGCTGCAGACGGTCAACAGAGGCGGTAATCTCCGCGGCTCCCGGCTGCCCGTAGTTCTCAGACAAAGTCCGGGTCAGGTGCTGCTTCAGTTCATCACCCAGCTGGAAGGTGGAGAGGGAAGGTGGCATCACAGAGCCCCCAACCCTGCCACCCTCGATCCCGGTCCCAGGCCTGCTCTAAAACCACGCCAGCTGTAACCAGACCCTCAGCTACGGAAGACAGGGTTATGGAGATGATGTTGCAAAAGCTGGGGCCCTAACACAAGGGCAGAGGTGTCATGGGCAGAGTTGAGAGGCAGGCTAGGGGAGGAGACATGGCATGGCTCCTAGGCATGGGGTACTTTACATATCTGTTGATTTTCATTTTGATTATGAGATGACGTTCAAGATATTTACAATCATCATCCTGTGGGCACTCATCAGTCCTGTGGGTGCTGGCTTGAAACAACCAGCACAGCCATCTGTCTACCAGCCAAATATCAGCCTGGCCATGACCTTGAGCTCCTGATTCACAGGGCACCCAGTGGGAGAGGCCCTCACTGGCCCCTTCATCCTTGTCCATGCAGACAAGGCCTGGTGCTGTCTTCACTGTCTGGCCTGTACCCCCGACCCGGGCCTTTCCCCCTGGAGGTCTGACAGCTGACTCAAGCTCCACCTTTCCTGAGAAGGGGCACCGGCCCACGCCACTCCCCATGGAAGCTCCCCCTCCCTGGCTCCCATGATGAAGACATCCACAGCAACAGATGGAGCAGAGGATTACTGAACTGGGACAGGAAGCGGGACCCAGATGTGCCAAGGAATGCTGGGGCCTGGGAGACAGGACCGCCCCCGTGTGCGGCCACCTCGGCTTCTCCATCACTCTGCACGCTTGCCTCCTGGAGCGCTGATGGGGAACGCGGAAAGAGGAACCTCCACTCACCCTCTGGTAGTACACGTGGGCCAGGACCCCTGCCACCAGCTCAACCAGGAAGATCACCAGCAATAGGCAGAAGTACTAGGAGTAAGGAGAAAAGATGGTCACCGCCGGGATTGGGGCCGGGGAGGCAGGTGGCACCTCAGCACCTCGATGAAAAGTGTTTTCCTAAAGCAGTGAGGGGGGTGGGGCTGCCTGTCAGCCCATCTTCATCTCTTCCCAGCAGCTCTGGGCACACCCACCTCTGCTGGCTCGTGGCATGGAGTTCCCCACTCACCCCTTCCCCCGCTGGTCTGCTGTCAGTTTGTTAATCCACCCACCCATCCGATGCTTATTAGATACCTACGATATGCCAGGTATCACAAGTAAGAAAACTATTGTTCTCAAAGTTATTGATGGTAGGGGGGCAGGTAAGTGATTATAATGATGTGTTTTAAATGCTACTATCAGGCAAGCCCTAGAAACTAAGGGAGGCTCTAGGTGGGGGAGGGCAGTCAGCGAAGGCTTTCTGGAGGAGGTGACACCTGAGTGACATCTCTAAGGATGAGCGGGCATTTTCCAGGTGCAGAAGGAAGCTAGTGAATGCTAGGCAGAGGGGAGAGCATGTGCAAAATCCGGAAAGTGCAGACGGCATGGGCGTTTGAGTTCAGGGACCTGGCTGGAGCGTGGGGGCCAGCTGGGCAGCAGCAACCAAGGCTCTGGAAAAGCCCGGGCACAGAGCCTAGGAAGAGCATTGCCGGGGGTTCTAAATCCCCCTCACCGCTTCCAGGACTCCTCCAGGCTCGGGCTGCCCTGGACACTTCCCAGCCCTGCTGGTGCTGCTGGCTGGCTTCCTGGCCGCGCTCTCAGCTCTGCCGGGCCTGCATCCTGTCCCCACTCCCACCTGGTTTTACAGTCGGAAGGCCCGGACACTGCTGGATCCTGGTGTGTTGCTGAAGGAGCCCAAAGGTCACAAATGACTGGGAGGGGACAGGGTGAGGGGGACGAAGCCTGCTACAAGTAGGGAAGAGAAAAAGAAGTGGGGAGAGAGGAGGAAGAGGGCAGCATGGTTGCCTGGAATCGGCCTCCTCTGGGCAAGCACAGCCCCTGCTCCTGAGCACTGGTGGGTGACGCCTCCGCCTCCTTCCAGACACTGCCCGGCTGCCTGGCCACACGAGGGCAGCAGCCCACGGTCACTCGGTCACTGGGCTGCTGGGAAGTCTCAGCCTCTGGGTCAGCTCTGAAATGCCAGGGTTCATCAAGGATGGCAAGAACCTGGGCAGGTGGTATGTGAGCAAGGACGACGGTAGGAGGGCGTGGGCCGTCTGGCCAGGCCAGAGGCGGTGCCAGTCCGTGGGCCTGGAGGCCTTGCCCACCCCCGGCTCCCAGAGCACAGCAGGGGGCTGGGCAAAGGCAGGACTTAAGTGACACAGGGGAAAAGCATTCCGTGGAGAAAGAACTTTGACCCAAGAGCAAGGCTTTCTTTGACGTGAAGTAAATTGCTCCCCTCATCCCGCAGCCCCTGTATCAAGCTCATCGACCCCCAGTGTGGGAGCGGGCCACCTTCAGGGACGCGGGGCGGCCTTCCAGGCTCTCAGTGGTGCCGGGCCTGTCCCGTCACCTGTGGGACCTGAGGCAGGAGTACAAGCGGAGGTTGCTAGCCCTCTCCCTTCCCATCTGGGCTCGGTGCTGCACCAGGAAAGGCCTCTGCCTGCACATCTAAGCCATGTCCATGCGCCGGGCCTGTGCCCTGCGGTCCCCGAGGTGGTGAGGTGTGGAGGAGGCCGGAGCGGTGTGGTGCGGGGGCATGCCGGCCCCAGGCTCCCTGGGGACGCTCTGGATGGAGGCTCGGGGGGTTTGCTCAGGGCACTCCAACGTCCTGGGCACCCAGATGAGGTCAGAAGTGGGGAAGGCAGAGGCAGGTTCCAAGAGGGCACATTCCCTGGGCCCCAGGGATTTCCCTCCCCATGGGGAGGAGTTGGGTGCAGGGGGCCTGTGTGTGCCTGGGCCCTTGGAAGGTACTGGACTTTACCCACGTAGGCAGGAGGCTGACAAGAGGTCTGTGGATGGGTTTTCTCTGCCTGAGGAGCCTCTGTGTCCCATACAGGGCCCCAAAACCTGAAGGACGGGGGTGGAATGTCAGCTGACTTGGCTTTGAGTCCAGGTTCAGCTGCTTGCTGGCTCTGGATGGTGACCTTTGGCATCTTGGTGTCAATTAGAAAAATGTGCTCCAATGAGAAAAATGTAGCTCCATGCGCTGGGCAGCCTGAATTTCAGCCTTTCCTGGTTCCTTGTACAAGATACAGCCTCCGGGGCCACACACGGTGCACCTGCCTATGGGACTGAGCTGGTCGATGGATGGCCGAATCCTGCCCTGCCTACCCCTTGGAGGGCCCAGCGGGAGGGGAATTATGTTCCATAGCAATCAGACCTGCTTCCTGCTCCTAGAGCCCGTGGGTGACAGCACGAGGTGAGCTGAACCTCTCGGCCAGTGGCAGTCGCCAGGCCAGGCTGCTGCCCTCCTGGGAGCTGCCCAGCCCCTTGGATGGAGCGTGGCTGCACTGACACCCACTCCAAGGCCTTGGGGATGTGCCCGCCCCGCCCCCCCTCAGACATGACTGCGCTTTCATGCTGGCTCCAAATTGACCCTAACTCCCCTTGCCCTCCCTCAGCACTCTGAGGCCAGCTCTCATCCTGCCACAGGAGCCTACATGCAGTGGCTTCCAGTCACTCCCTAGACTTCCTGGGTGCCCTCTGCAGTGTGGGAGGAAGAGATGATGGGGCACTTGTCATGAAACAGGAGGACGCAGGCCACTGCCGGCTCAGAGGGCAGCATCTTGCTACCTTCCTTCCATGGTGAGGAGACAGAGAGGCTTCTTTCTCCCTCTCTGACCGCTGTGGTGGGTGAGAGGTACGCAGAGGTGGTCCTTAGGGCATGGCAGTGTTGTCTGCTCTCCGGGACGCCATTGCCTCAGTTGCTATTGAAGCCCAGCTGGGGAGGTGGGTGACGGGAAGGCAGAGCCACTGAACCATATCCGGGATTTAGTGGCAGGCTAAATTAGTACGTGCTCGCCCTGCAGAAAGGTTCGCCGGCATCAAGCTCCTACCCGCCCTGACGGAGTTGGCCAGAGGGGAAAGAGCACCTCTCCTGCCCCGAGCTCCAGCTGTCAAGATGCCCCGGGGTGGGGGCAGGGCGTAAGCCAGGACCAGACTGAGGTTTTGGAGGGACAAAGGGCAGGCAGCCAGGGAGCGGACGTGCTGGGTGCTCTGCGGGCACGGGTGCTGTCTCCGGCAGCAGCTTTAGCAGCAGAGGGCTGCAGGTGTGTGACTCACCTGGGCGGGGGAGGCTCTGAATCACAGCTCCTGTGTGACACAGTCCCGGAGAGGCAGGTTGTGCTTGCAGAATCCTGCGCCGAGGGTTCGGCATTCCCGCCTCTGGAGCGGGGCCTGCACTGCGGGCCAGGCCGGTGGGGTTTCTGCCACGCAAGGCCACGCGCTCTAACAAACGCCTCACCTCTGCTGCTCTGCCCTTCACCTCGCCACGCCCTCTGGACTGCCCCATCCACCCAGATTGCCTCAGCGTTCCCAGGGCGCAGGCTTGCTGAGTACCTCTGCGAACCATTCCTTCTGTTCCTGCACACAGTTCCCTACCTAGAGGCCAGGCCCTCCAGCCTCCACGCCTTTGTCCTCGCCGTCCCCCGCCTGGACTCCGGCATCTGCCTGTGCCTCAATATCCAGCTCGTGGCCCACACGCGCCACCTCAGGCTGGCGGTGGTGGCCGCCGCCCACCCCCAGCCCCAGCACCTCTGTGTTGTGACACAAGGACTCTCCGCTTTGCTCCTTCTCTCTACCTAGACTTGGATCCGCCTCCGTGTCCTTCACCTGCCTGCCATGCTGCTCCTCCCATGACAGTTCCTCCGTAGGCCTTGGCTGGAGGAGGGATGTAAGTTTAGCCACCACTCTGCGGAGGTTGCTACTGCTCCAAGTGGTACCCCTCAGTCTCCTGAGAATGACCGTGAGCTTCTGCGGAGCAGGGGCCACTGCTGCAGCGCTGGGCGTAGCTGCATGCTCAGTGAACATGCCTGCTTTCAGGTGCACGCGTGCGTGTCTCACAGAGCGCGGCCGTGACCCAACAGGGACTGGCTAGAGCTTGGGGGCGGGAGCCTGATCTTTCCCTGATCTGTGGAAAGCACAGAATTGTTATGTTAATTTATACTAGTGGTTCTCGACCTGGCACGATTTTGCCCCCAGGGGACATTTAGCAATGTCTGGAGACTATTATTTTGTTTGTTGTCACAGCTGGGAGAAGGAGTGCTACTGGCGTCCAGTGGGTGGAGGCCAGGGATGCTGCTGACCCTCTGCAGGGTACAGGCCAGCCCCACTGCAAGGAACTGTCAGGGCCTAAGGCTGATGCTGGGACTTGATTTGCATACGTGTGTCCCTATGCACTACGGAAGATTCAAGAAAGATCTAAGGAAGGTTATCCAGTTGCTGAGCAGCCTGAACTCAACGCAGAAGAATGTGAGGGGTTTTACACTGTACCTGCCTGGGAGGGCACCTCCACCCGGACTGAGGAAAGGGTCAGTGAAGCAGAGAAAATGCCACCAGTCCAGGTACATCCCAGGAGACCTGGGAGCTTCCCTGGGGACTGTGTGCTGTCTGGTCCCTCCTGCTGCCCCCAATGAACTGGGCAGTGTGGGGTAAGCTGCCAGAAAGGGTGTGTAATAGATTGACTAGGAAGCATAAAGAAGGTTCTGGAATTACCTTTTGCCTTTAAGTTTGGTGTTGATTTTGAATTATTAAACAGAAGTCAGTAAAAATTCCGATACCCCGTGTCATATTTCAAGGAGTCAGTGTTCCCTGGGCCCTAGGCCATCCCGCTTCTCCCAGCTAACCAGGCCCATGCTCCTCCAACAGAGTCTCCGCCACCCCGCCGCCCCATTCTCTTGAGGGGCCACCAGGACCCATCTCCCTGGCCTGTGGCTTAGGAGGCACAACCCGACTCGGCTTGCTGACCTTGTTTCTCAAAACCAAGCCAGAGAAGCAAAGGAAATGCTGTTTTTCGGCAGTGGAAGCAGTAGAAAGGTACGATTTATACATAC